TGAATGACCAAGTGCTAACTTTTTTAAGGGTATTTTTATCAAACCAACTCCTCCATCTAATGACAATATTTACCATTTTTTTACGAAATGATCATAATGATTTACGGTGGACAAACTTATGAATCACTTCCATCGGTTTTGATTGTAATGGACCAAAATAAAGAGTTATGCTTGACATAATTCGTGATTATTTTAGATAAGGAAAAAAAATAAAAAAAGAAGCCTTTTTGTTTTTGTCGAAAAAACTTTTCCCAACTCGGTTAACACTCATGATCCTTGGAGATTAGCACAAACATTTTCAGAAACACAACTGATCAGACAGTCAGAGACTCAGAGGTATAATTCCACAAGACTACCAGCGTTACCATGCACCTTCACCTTTGCAGGTTCACGAGGCTGGAACCTGGGTTTTGATCTGTCATCTGTTTCTTCTTCTTCTTCTTCTTCTTCTTCTTCTAATTTGTTTCTACTTTCTGCGGGGTCGTGAGAAAGGTGTGGCTTTTGAAACGTACAAAATTATCTAGCCTGTATATTTTAACATTTTCTTGCAGAGCTGATTATTACTGTTATTTTTCGACAACAACAATTCAACCCGCCACCAAACCCTTTCTCTGCGTTTACGTTGCACCACCAAACCCTAAACCATTGCTAACAACAAAAATGAATGCGAAAATATCCAGCTTTTATTAACAAAAAGATTAATGCGAAAAAATTAATTTTGTAATTTTTAAATTAATTCTCTATTGTTATTTGTTATTTTTTAATTAATTCTCTTTTGTTTGTTGGATATTTTTTAATTAATTCTCATTTGTTTTTTTTTAAATTAATTCAGTCACCGTAAGGCGTAAGTAATTGATTTGATATGATGCATGAATAATAACAAAACAGGTAAGTGAGGGGAATAAAAGCCTATTATATAATATCTAATTTAATTAGCCTCATGACACAACAATATAATCTAAATCTCTACTATTTAATGAAATCTTTTTTGTCAATCAAAAGATGATGAAAAAATAACTTAGTCTTCTATAATTCAAAAAAATGATGGGCAATAATGTAATTTTACATGTCCAAATTTTACTTTTTTTATTAAAATCTCATTTACAGATGATGTTAAAATATCTTTAATATTTAAAATTAAAAAAAAAACCAAAAAAAAAAACCTCACACTCCCCCACCCACGTTCTCTCTCTCTCTCCCTCTCTCCTCATTTTCTAAAAAAATATGTTCATACACATAAAGTGTGCAGACATATGCTAGTTACTTATTAACAAAATATTTTTTGTCAACTAAAAGAGGATAAAAAGACAATTTGATATTTTATTACAAAATCAAATCATGGCAATATTGTAATTTCGTACAGACCAAATATTACTTTTTTTAATTTCAAATCTCATCCACATATCATTATAACATCTCTAATTCCATACAAAAAAAAAACCCCAAGTTCTCTCACTCTCTCTCTCAATTCTCTCCAACTTCTCTTTTTATTTTCCTAGGTACAACTATATATTTTACGTATTCAATTGAGATTTTGAGGTATTTTAATTCTTTTAATGAATCTAAAGGTATTCAATTAGGATTTTAAGTGATTATCTGAAATTCAAGATGCATTCAATTAGAATTTTAAGATAGTTTATTAAAATCCTTAGAAATCTGGGTGTATTCAATTAGGATTTTAAATAAGTTTATAACATTCCAGTGTATTCAATTAGAAATTGATTTAAATCATTTGAGAAAGTTGAGGAATTAGAGGGAATTGGAGAGATTTTGTAGTGTATTTTAAGCATCCACAAATCTCACATCTCCCCATGAGATTTCAAGGGAATTGAATCAAAATTTTATATGAAATCTCTACAAATCAATTAAACTTCATAAAAATTCATATATTTATAAATCCATTAAAGTCTTAAATTCTCAATTGAATAAATCTCGAGAAAGTATGTACAGATCATTTTTGAAGATAGTACAAGGGTACAATCATTGTTGAAGAAAATAAAAGAGTACGTACAGATTATTTTTGGATATTGAATATTGTCATATCCAAAGAAAAAAAGGGAAAATTGTCAAAGCGGAAGTTTCTACACATATCTGCCATGTTCAAACTAATCTATCCCTTAATTTAGAAAGTGTAGAAAAATGAGGGCATTGCTAATTAATTAGATTTAATTGTGTACTTGAGTTTCCTTTTCAATCTTTATTATAATCAACAAAATAATGCAAAAGGACTTTTTTTCTTTCTTTTCTTTAGATGTAGCTTTTGGAGTTAGGTAATAAATAAGGAAAACTAATAAATTTTTTTGAAAACTTTGAGTTTTAATCAAAAGGACAAAAATGTGTTGTAAGTGAATAGTATCATGAGTGACTTTTTAGAGTAAAAATGTCATTTTCGTTAAAAGTGAACAATACTATGAGTGTTTTGTTAAAACACTCTAATAAATATTCATATTTGTATAAGGTGTGTATTTGTGACACCATTTTTTTACGTAACTTTTTAAACATGTTTTTGTGAGACACATGTTGTATTGTATTTTAATGATCTGAATCATTTACCTTTTATAACATCATTCATAGATTATCCTTATCAAAAATTAGACAAATCCACAACTATTAAGATATTCATTTGTAGTAAAAAAATGAACAAATACGATTATACAAAAAAACTCTAAGTCCTTAATCTAACAGTCATATGGTTTCAAATTTTGGTGAGTTTTCAATAAACATACTTTTTAAGAGAAAACCTGAAATTTAGACGGTTCAAATCGTTGAAATATATTTGAAGTGAGCCCGCAAAAATGTGTGTAAAAAATTGTATACTTGAGTTGCTTTTCAATCTTATCATAATGAACAAAATATAATAGAAAAAAGATAGGATTTTTTTTTCTTTATAGATGTGATATATAACTTTTGGAGTAAGTAATAAATATTTGTAATATGTATCAGTTACCAGATCTGATAAACATAAAATATTATTTCAGATGTTTTACTTTTTGGTAAGTAATCATTTTGATTTTGAAAAATATATAATCAAATTACCATATAACACAAATCTACTGTATAAACAGAATACCACTTTTGACAAAAACAAAATATAAATACCAGTAGTAACTTCTTTTTTTTGTCAAATATACATTAGTAACTTCCTCGCTGAAAAAAAAAAAAATAGTAACATCAGGTGATTCATGTGCTCAAGTGAAATTACCTCATCACCCTTGGTGTTAAAAATATTTTTTTGTTAACTCATTTTATATAAAATGGGCATAATGCATTTATTCATTGGTAGTGGCAGGTGAAGCTCAATGGTGAAAAGTAATCTTGTCTATGCACCCTAGTTCGGGTTCGACTCTTATTGATCCTCATCTCCACTAATAACTAACAATTTAACCCATCAACGTTATTGTAAATAGAAAAAACTTTTAGGTAGTGAGTTGTTTGAATTTAAATAATGTTTCAAAATTATTTATAAAAAAAAAACTACCTAAAGCAGTGTGCTCCTCTGCATTCAAGTTTGGAATCATGTTTTCCCTAATTTAGATGAATTAAGTGTAATTATCTTAATGTTTATCAAAAATAATATTTTCAAGAATTCACCTGTAAGTAGATGCATACATATACGTAATAATAAGGAGTATCTTAAATATAAAAGTTAAATAAAATTATATGTTTATTTTGATAAGCAAATTATATATCTACTACGCAGTTTAGACTCAGAGGAATGTTAACTTAAGAGAGTGGACAATTCAGATCCCTTTTTGTGTTCCCTTAAAAGTAAAAATAAGTAAGTATGTCCGGACAAAAAAATTAGTAAATATTATACCATATTAACACAAGGAATGGATTATTGAATCTGTTGCTATGACATTTGAATTTATAATAATTATTACAATAATTTGACCCAACAAAGTGTTGTCCGCATGTAAAAAGTTAGACTAAAATTTTGTCAACTATTGTAATCTCCAATATTGATATTTGCCTATGAAATTATGAAAATATATTGCTTCATCCTACTTTCAAATTTCAGCAACCCTATTTACGGATATTTCAATAGTATCGAAAGTATCGATGATATTTAAAACCTTGCTTATAAATGAATTATCCATAAGACTTCATGTCATAAATTGACACTAATACAAGTTATATTCCTTTATTTACGTCCGTAGTTACAAGTACTTAAACTATGAAGGACATATGAAAAAATCGTATCTATATTATGCAACTTTTTAATCATCGAAGATGAGAATTGGAAAGTATGCCTGACACGTTGCGTTAATACTCTGAAAAGTTAATGAATCGGTTAATGTGTTGTAATTTTGCGCACAATAATTACAAAACCAACACAACGGGTATGTGTTTGGTGACTTATAAAAAGTCAGCTCTCTTAAGAAGAGGTGAAAAAATACAGACAGATTTGGATTTCCCAAACCCAGAGGTAGTTTTCCACTTTCTACATTGGCAATAAGAAATCACAACAAGATTTCCAGTATCAAAATCTACGTTAGATGGCAGAAAGAAACTTGAAAACTGTGCGTATTTATTACAGAGTTCGACGCGATAGTTTGTGCATGACGACTTATAAAAGGTCTGCTCTCTTAAAAACAGGTGTAAAATACAAGCAAATTCTAGATTACCCAAATCCAGAGATATGTCTTCTCTTTCTACAATGCAAACCAGAAAGCACCCAAGATCATCAACAACTAGGTTGGATAGTAGAAAGAAAACATGAAAATTAGAAAAACCAAAAAGAAAAGTAAAAGAAAGAAGAAAAATCCAATTGAATATTAGTGCAAAATACATACATGTAGTGTTGGAGATGTGAAAATTGGGAAAAAGAGGGGCAACATGGGAAGAACAAAGAAAGATAGAGGAGGGAAGTGGATAAAATCCGCTGTTTGAATAGCCCACTGGAAAGCAAACCATGGCCCCTGGTTTTCACTCCTCTTTCCAAAACCGGCTTTCTCTTTCAGCCCTAAGTCCCTTTGTCCCCTTCTTTTATACCCATTTAACCCGCTCCCCCCTTCTCTTCCTTGAACAGAGCTGCCAAATTTCACATCGATGTCCTCCTTTTAACACCCATCATTCTCCAGTACAATATAACTTTTATTGTTACTGCCCACTCTTCTCTCTAAACCCCTCTCTCTCCTCCCCTCCTCTGTTCCCCTGGTCTGTTTTTTTCTGGGTTTCAATCCAATTTCTCATTTTTTTCTTCAATTGGGTATGTACCCAGATTGAAAGTTTACATTTTTTTTGAGTTTTTCTGAAATGCCCTGATCGAAAATTTCATTTTTTTCTATTGGGTTTTTGTGTTATGATTAAAGGTAGAACTTGGGGTGTGAATGGGGATTGAAACGGTGGCGCCCAATCGCAAAGGCAGTAAGGAGTTTCTGGCATTGGCGGAGGAGACGAATTCGAAAAGCAAGACCAGGAAGGGCCGGCGACGTCAGCGGAAGATGTCGCCGGTTCAGAAGCTGTACGAGACTTGCAAGGAAGTCTTTTCGTTTTGTGGGGCCGGGGTCATTCCCCCGGCTGAAGATATCCAACGGCTATCCTCTGTTTTGGGTATAATTCTTTTATCTCTGCTTTAGCATGAATTCAAATTCATGTTCTTGCTCTAATTAATGTCTCAGAATTTCGTAAGCATTTCATAAGTTGATTGAATTAAAGCTCAATTTTGGTTATTTTTTAATGAATTTAGAAAACCGTATTGAATTAAAGATGCAAAATTTTATAAAATTGGACTCCATTTTACCATTTCACATGTTTGTATCGGTCTTCTGTGTTGAATTTGCATTATCTTGTAGGTTCTGTTATCGGCCGGTGCCTTTTTGTTTTATTTTTTTCCAAAAAAAAATTTAGATAATTTAATCAATCTGTGTCCTTGCATTTGATACATGCATTTCAGTTTTGCGGCTGTATACATGCATCTATATGTATGTATGTCTTTTCGGGCATTTCAGTTTTGCGGCTGTATACATGCATCTATATGTTTGTATATCTTTTCGGGGTTGTTGTTCAATTTACTGTATAAAAAAATGTTTGTGACATAACACGTGTCAATTAACGATAGACGTTAGAAGATTTGATCTCGTTTTTCATGCCAGAGGGGGCCTCCATATCTGCATCGGTTCATTTCTTTACATCTGGATACTGTTTTGGTTACACAAATGGAATATTAGTTGCATTCAACTGTGTTTAATTCAGGATTTTGAGAGAAAATAATCCGTGATAGTGTTATTTGCAATCGTTTTTCTTACCTTTTTCGAATTGATTCCCCAAAGTGGCTTATAGGGTTTGGTTGTTTTGATGCCAGATGCCATGGAGCCTGCTGATGTCGGCCTCACTCCTGATTTGCCGTACTTCAGGATGACGGTAGCTAGACGAACCCCGGTTATAACATACCTGCATCTTTACGAGTGCGAAAAATTTTCAGTAAGTTTCTTCCGGGTGCATTCCCGCAATTTACGAAGCGAAATCAGTCAGCGTGGCTTTTGTTCTTATAAGGTGTTACCTATATGCAGATGGGGATATTTTGCTTGCCGCCTTCGGGTGTCTTACCGCTTCATAATCACCCGGGAATGACGGTTTTCAGTAAGCTTCTGTTTGGGACAATGCACATCAAGTCCTACGATTGGGTGGCTGGTGCCCCGGAGAAAACATTGGCAAGTGCGAATCCTTCACTAGGTAAATTCCTCCTTTGAAAAATTGTACTATTTCTTAACATTTGTATAGAAAGTAGTAAGTGCACACTCAACTCCTGGTGCCGCACCCAAGACTTTCTAGTTTGGGTGGGACCAACGTGGGGTCAAATGCGACCAAAATACATGGTTGCATGCCTGAGTGAGAGCTTTCCTATGGATGATGTGGTCCGGAGCCCTTGCACAAGTTTTTTTCTATATAGCAAAGACACAGCATGAACTTTCTTGTTAAATGTTATTGCATTGTATTGCATCTTCCTTGAGATAATCTGTGGGACTTGATGAGAAATCTACCGGCCTTTTCGATGTGCTTTGGTTCATGCAGTTGCACCGCCCGGTGTTCATCTGGCTAAAGTTAAGGTTGACGCCGATTTCACTGCTCCTTGCAAAACATCCATCCTCTATCCAGCTGATGGAGGCAACATGCATTGCTTCACAGCAGTGACAGCATGTGCAGTGCTCGATGTGCTTGGGCCCCCATATTCTGATCCTGACGGCAGGCACTGCCAGTACTACCTTGATTACCCATTCTCTCGCTTCCCAGGTATCAATTTGGTTAGATCTTCCATTCCAACTAAAAACCAAGAGCGCAGCCTGTTAGAACTTTGAGAAATCTCGATGACGGTTGTTTTTGAATTTCAGATGGGGGAGTATCGGTGCCGGAAGATGAGAAAGAAGGCTATGCTTGGCTTGAAGATATAGAGAAACCTGAGGACTTAGCTGTAGATGGAGCCAAGTACAGAGGCCCAGAAATACAGGAGAATTGATGATCTCACCAATCCATCTATCTATATCTCTCCATCCTCATTCCATTTCAGTTGTCTGCATCGCCATACCGTTTTCCCCATTCATCCATCCGCCGCCGCATCACCATCCTGTCGCTTTCATTGATGTCATCAGTGGCTGCTGATCAATTCAGTGCCGCAATAGTAGTGCTTTTGTTTCGTTATGTTGGTTTTTTGTCATGTTTTGTTCTTTTTTTCTTCTTTCCCTGTGGGACATGAGGAGGCACTTGGTGCCCTTTTTTTTCTTCTTTCTACAGTTAATGTACATATCTTAAAAAAAAAAAAAAAAAAAAGCAACAAAAAGAAGAGAAGTGTTATTTGCACTGGAAATTAGTGGATGAAAGTGCATTAGCACTCTTTTCATACTTTGCTTTTTAAGTTTTACATACCCTTCTCTTCACCGCCCCCCCCCCCCCCCCCAAAATTTACTTGGTTCGTTTATGATGATATTATTCATCATTTTCCAGTCAGAGATGATGCAATTTTCTGTTGAAGTCCAAATCTGAAGATCTGTAGTTTTCCTTGATTTCATGGAAGGAGAAATGTGGTAAATGTGGTTTGGGATTTGTTTTGTTGTCACCTGTAAGAGGAAAATGAATGCATGTCACATGAGAGATTTTTTTGTGCGCGATCAGAAGGGTAGCTTCTTACCTTGGAATTTATCGTGTCACCGGGCTAGCCAGTAGCTTACAGGGAGTGTAGGTAAGCTTATAGGGGGTGTGCTTGGGAGAGAATTACATGTGCCCTAGATGCTATGTACCGGTTTGAGAAATTACCACGGAAGTGGTGAAAGTTAAACTGAAACTAATTTATAAACTAGGTTTGATAATATTTCAAACTAATTATGCTCAATGTGCAGTTCTCAATGACATTGTGTTATTAGTTTGGAATGATGTCATAATGTCATATTTAGCGGAGATAAGTCTCTCTCTCGTGTACTTTAAGAGTATCTAATGTAAGTTTATAATATGTTGTAGTATTCGGTGTAGGTAAGTCTCTCTGCGAAACTTTGGGCTAGACAACGTGACGTGTGAGTAACATGTGGTAAACGATAGTTGAGCTGAAAAGTGAAGGCGTTGGTTTGGCGTGGGTCATATGAATATGCATGATCATATATCATCAATGGGATAAGACGACATGATGATGGAGATGATCTGTGAAGGGTCTGGTTTGGCGTACTTGCCCTTTGAAGATTGGGACATGGGGACATGTCTCTGGCTTTGGAGACAGCTTCAAGAAAAACAAGTACAAAGCAAGCAGCTGTGACGTGTTTCCGTGGGGATCAGCACCACCAGAGGGGAGAGAGCTGCATCTGCATGCATGTCTTGCACATATATTTACCCCTTTATCTGTTACTAATTACCAGGAGTAGTAACGTGATTTAAACAGGTTAATTTTCATACTAAATTACTAATTAGCTAGCTAGTAATTACAAAGCTGTTTCCAGAAAGATGATATTTCTTGTTTTGTTGAGCTGCTGCAAATTAACTTTGTTTACATTCTCTCTCTCTCTCTCTCTCACATACACATACTGTTTACTTGCATGCAATGCAACCTGTGCGTGCCCTTGGGGTTGGGGTGGGTGTGCCGCCAAGATTAGGTTAGGCATGTAGATTGTAGGGTTTGTAAGTTTGCGAGTGCGTCACTTAGGCTCGTGATGATATCAAAAGTAGGTTATCTGTCTGCAATGACTCGGAAGTTTCTTGGAGAATATTACTTTATTACCAAAGTACAAAGTGCCCATGGAGGGAAGCATACGAAGATTCCTGCAGTTAGCAGTATATGATATATATATATATTTCGATTGATTGAGTTTCGGGTTCAAATCTTCAGCGCCTTCCTTAGTTGTGAAAAAAGAAAAAGGAAAAGAAAAAAACACTGCAATTACGCTCACGAGTTTTGACTTAATAGGCATGTTGCTGCATGCATTTGGGCCCAATGGATTCACACTTCGCAGGTTCTCAACCAAGCTGGCAATACACGGGTTGAAAACTTGCTAAGGTGATATCCCCAATACAGTTCACCGTCTAACCCACAATATTAGTCCAGATACAAAATCTACTAGCTTTTCTAATTTACCCAATTATTTGCAAGAGGAAAAACTAACGCGGTTCAAATATTTATAAACTAATTTGTAATCGAAATTAAAATAAGGATTGATTTTTTTACAGGTTGCTTTAGTGTTTAATGATCAAGTGCAATTTTTCTAATAGTCTGATCTACTTAGTAGTACAAAAAATAAAACAATCAAAATTGAATTGAAGAAATACTATTTTTACTCGCTTTCCAATCTAATAAATATAATGTCGGACTATCCAGTAGTCCATACTACTTGAAGACTTACCTGACTATGTGAAAACAAAAAACAATACTATGAATTCAACTCTTGAAGTTGGTGGAGTTGGACTCTTCCTCAATTCAATTCATGCCCCCGCTACTAGAGAATCTCTCCCATTTGGCATGTTAAAACTACATTCACATCTTATTACATTTATGGAAATGCAAATGTGAGTTTTGCTTTATTAGAGGAAATGTAAATTTAGATTTCATGAGATAGCTGCTTAGTTTACGTGATAGTTTTCTTCTCTCCTTGTTTTCACGGGTTCACATATTTTTAGCCCAAGTGAATATTTTACAACTCTTAAAATTGTCCTTTGAAGCGCTTTTTGATCAATGAAAGATGTATAATGTGTTTTGAGAAATGTTAGTAACTTCGCACTAATTTTTGTATTTGAATTCTTTTACTTTAACAAATGACATGTGTCAAATTTGTACTCAAGTTGTTTGTTTGTACAAATTCACTTAAGATCTTTTTTTTTTATTTTTTATTTATATCACTGGAGCAATGTATCCAATTGCAAATTTGTATTTGTTGGCAATATTTTTGCTCACTACCCTATTTATGACTATTGGATGAGTTTAAATTTAGATATCTATATAGTGGATAGACATATATATCTCAAAATTTAAACTCATCAAATGATAATAAATAGGGTGGTAAGCCAAAATGTGTGAGAATGTAAGGACAAAATCCCACATCGGTTGGAGACAAAACTATGCAAGAGTTTATAAGAGGTTGAGCTACTTCTCTCATATTGCTAATTAGTTTTATGGTGAAACCTCAATGTTCTTCAAAATGCACCCATATTTGTTTGTGATAATGAAATATCACTCTATCATTTGACATTTTTACACACAAACCAAGATATTTAATGCTTTTAAAATATTATTTTCTATTTTCCATTTTCCTTCTTTAATTCCTAGCCACAATTATTGTTGTTCTTATTTTTTTTGTGTAAAAAATAATACGTCTTTTGTTGAAAAGGTCCATATACAAAGGTTGGTTCAAAAATTGCTAGCACTTCCCATGTTTTATACATCCCTATATACACCCATAACATGAGGTGCTCTTACAGTTAATAAACATAGCTAATTTATTATTAATTAAGTTTACTACCTTCCATCACACACACACACACACACACACACACACACACATATATATATAGCATCATCAACGATCCAACATATATAACATGTTCAAATGTTCACCAAACCAGATAATATACAAAGCTCCATTCTTAATGAAATTAATCAGTTGCTTAGGCAAGGCATATGGAATACAAAAATGCAGATTAATATTAAATCAGAACTTAATTTATTAATTCAAGATGGCTATCTTGCTAATTGAGAGCATTGACCTAGTTGATTATAATAAGTACCACATGGCCTTTAAGTCTCTTCCAATATATCTGCTCGTAAGACTTAAAAAATCTTATGTCTTGACAACGTAGTGCAAATAAATTAATAAACCAGCACCTCTCTCTCTCTCTCTCTCTCTCTCTCTCTCTCTCTCTCTCTCTCTCTCTCTCTCTCTCTCTCTCTCTCTCTCTCTCTCTTTTCAGTCTTCAGTCTATATTTTACAGAGTCAACTATATATGCAAGGGCCAGTAAACTTCATGCTTAATTAACACACACACACACACACACATAATATTAGTATATATACATGTTGGCGTTCCATTTTTACGTCTTTCATGGCCGTACGATTGAAACGTTTTAACGAGGCAGAGCAAACTGACAAACCGATTTTTGTGTTGCTTCAAGACCCAATTAATCCACGACATACCTAAACACCTTGAAGAGTTGCCTCCATTATATTCCCTTCCCTTTCCTTCTCAAACTAAATTGTTTAAAGTTAACTAAGGGGGTGAATGGCTTCCTACGTTATCTCAAAGTTGGTGACATCGTGCCTTGTATGCCTTGTATGTTAGCAGCTTTCTTATTTGAATTTTCTCATTCTACTTTCTTGACTCTCATTCTCATGATGATCTTAAATGTTCATTTTTCTGTCACAATTTAAAAATTATCTCGGCAAACAATTTGTTAACTACTCTAAAATTTATGAATACTGAACAAAGAAGAAGAAGCTCTTAGAGAGAATATGAGAGAGTATGAAGTTTTGTATATATTTCCAGATGCCATAAATGGCAGTTTACATTTGGTTTTATAGAGCTGAATTCATGAGCTCAATTACAATAATACCATCTAACAATTCTAACCAATCTTATCCTTATAACTACCTAACCACACATCCCAACTATTTATATTCTTCATTACTAAGTAACCATGTCATCACTAATGACTATGAGCTTAGATTGCCTTCAATACATCTTTCAACAACACTAAATCTCTGATTGAATTGTAGCAGCCTGAGGAAGAACACCAATATTGAGATTATGGCAGTGTTTACTGAAAATTGGATTGTGAAGTTCTTTGGTGAAGACATCAACTACTTGTTCTTCAGTGGAGATGTATTGTACTGTGATATCTCCTTTTTGTACTCTTTCTTGAACAAAATGATAGTCTGTGTCTAGATGTTTAATTTTGGAGTGAAACACCAAATTAGAACACAAGGCTAATGTCGACAGATTATCACATTGTAAATGTGGTGGTACTGGAAGGAACTGGTGCATATCTTTCAATAAAGAATGAATCCAAAAGACATTAGCTGCACAATGAGCTAAAACCTTATATTCTGCCTCTGTAGAACTACGAGATACTGTTGATTGTCATTTAGATTGCCACGGAAATGGATTGGAACCATTGTAAACCACATAACCAATAATAAATCTCCTTGTATTTATATTTGCAGCCTAATTAGAGTTAGAATAGGCTGAAATTGTAAAGTCAGGTGACTTTGTATACCTTAAACCACAATGAATTGTTCCCTTCAAGTATCTCAGAATCCTTTTAACTAAATGCATATGTAGCTCAGAGGGTTGTGTCATTTATTGACATACAACATTAACAACATGAGCTATATTAGGTCTTGTGAATGTAAGGTATTAGAGTGCCCCTACTA